TCTCATCTTTGGTCGGCGACAAAAACGCTGTTCGCCAAAATCTTTCCAGAAGCTTTGGCTTTGGTTTGGCTTCGACGTGCTGCTTTTGTTGTTGTTGCGGTTTTTTGCACTGGTTGTCACTTACTGTTGTGTAGTTACTACTGCTGACTGTTAATGGTTACAGTTATATTTCCCAAGTTTTCTTTACAGCTTTTTGGTCATGTTTTCTTTCTCTTCCAGTTTATTCACTGATTGGAGAAAAATTGCCAATACATATATGTGAAACATTTTGAGGTTTGCGTAGGTCAAGATCAGGGGTTTTTTCACAATTTATTTTCATTTATTTGTTGCTTGCTTTGTTTTATTGATCACATTTACCTCTTTATATTTGCTCTTTACCTACCCGTAAAATCTATCTATTAGGCTGCTTATATAAGTTCTGTTTCTTTTTTCTTTTCTTTTTTCTTCTTCTTTCGGTTATTGTTATCTCTGAATAAATGTTGCAGAGAGGGGAACGGAAAAGGAGAAGCAAAGTAGTCTTACAAGTCGGATCAGTATTTAACCGTTGTTCTTCAGAATGCGGTTGGTCTTTTGATTTTATGCTTACCTGGTTCCAGTTCATTTTTTCTTCATACTTTTTTTTCTTTTGCTGCTTCAGTTACTGCTACCTTTGTTGGTAGTTTTTTAGACATCATATTTCCATTTTCCTCGGCAGTTTGTTGGCAACTAAAATATTTTTATGATTCACAACAAAAGTAGTTCCTCTGTAGGTTATTGTAGTTTTTTTTTGGTATTTCGTGTACAACATATGTACGTATTGTGTATTATTTGTTATACGTTATATAATATTTATTATATACTTTTGCTCTTCTTGCGAGGAAGGAAGGGGAGGGGTTGTCTCGATTTCTCGCTTATTTGTTTTAACTTTTTTTTCATTGAGATTTTGCGCTATTTATTCATCACCATGCAGCTTGTTTTTAGTTGTCTTTTTCATTATTTGATCCCTGAATATGCTCTTGTAGCTTATTCAGTTATGCTTATTTTTGCGTTGTCAAGGTTGGCGTTTGACTCTGCAACTTTTGTCGTTTTGTGTTTACATGAGTCTTTGGATAATGTCGTGTATTTTCAGCAGCTTTTAGACCGTTTTAGAGACGACAGTTTATTCATATCTGTTACTTGAAGTAATGCATTCATGTCTTTTTTCTTAAATCATTTCTTTTGATGAAGGTGAATAATTAATTGTTTAGCAGCCGTCGTTATCATGCTTGTCGTCAGCAGAGAGTGGTTGCGAAAACTCTGGTATTCTATCGTCTTGGGTGTCTTATTTTCGTTGTATGCTATTGATATATAATTCTACGTCAGAAGAAGTTTGTTATTAGCGTAAAAATGTTCTTTTTTCTAGTTTTCAGTAATTTTTTCGACTTGTTACTTAAAGTCAAGTCATCGCCTTTTTTTTTTGGATTTTGGAGAATGTGTTAATGAAAATGTATGTGGGGTCGTTTAATTAATACATTAATGAATTGAATTAGAAATCTCGTTTTTTATCTTTCTTGATTCATCTTGAGGACTTAAATGCTATGAAGTGGCCACAAGTGGAATCGAAATGATTTGAATTGTTTCAGTGGCAGAGTGTTTAACGTTTAGGTTGTAAAAGTAATTGGTTTGGAACAGCTTTCAGGTACTAAGACTCGTTTTTCGATAGAAGTAGGTTTCGCAGCAGGTGTCGTTGTAATTTCTTAATAATTCGTCAGAAATTGGAACGTAAGCCGGAAAATTCAGGAATTTTTTACCTTCATAGGTCCGCTTCTTTGCTTTCGGTTAAATAATTTTGATTCCATTACAGGCTTTAGATTTCTCCGCATCGTTTGGGACTTTTATTTCTGATTTTCAGTCTTAAACGGGGGGTTTAGACCATGTAACTTTTTGCATTATTAGCAGTTGTGGTCTTAGCCTAAAGTTTTTTATGTTTTAGTGTTTGAAATGCATCATTGTTTTTACTTTCTAATGAATTAGATGCATTGTAGCATCACATGGGATACTTGGTAGAAAAATTTTGCATGTAACTCTAATTTTTCTTCCACTTGCCGTCGTCTTTTCTGCGCTTATTTACTTTGACAGCTGCTTCTTTTTTCTTTGGTATTCTCAGGACAGATTAATTATAATACATGAGAGCAAGCGCTAAAGGTTCATTTTCCAGCTCTTGTTCCGTGACTTTTTTTTTGTCTTACTTTTGGGGCTTCTATTTGTTCTCAGAGTTTTTATTTTTTCCTGACCATCAGTTACGTTAAGTTTAAGCTGAGTAATAATACCAATGGATTCGGCTGAAGGGCCTTTCATTAATTTACAACCTGCTCAGCAGTATTAATATTCCGTCTTTAATATTTCTCTAATCGTAATTTTATTTTTTTCAAAAGTTCAAAGCAGAGGACAAAGTTACATTTCTTATATCAGTTAATTCACGAATGAAGTTGCTTTTTGGATATAAATATTATCATTCAGCACCTGTCTTTGTTAAAACAAAGATAGTTAAAATCACATGTATAATGTTTTTGCAAGAAATTAAATTTTACTTCCAGCTTACGATATTTTCGTGCAGGATTTTTTATTATAGTGAAAAAATGTATTTCGTTTTCGTATTGTACTTCAGCAGTTAAAAGCTGGTTATTTTTGCTGATTATTTGTTCCACTTGCTAAGTTGCATTCTTCTTTCACCAATTTTGGAGTATTATATATTTTGCGCTGTGATTTTAGAGTGTAACTGGGGTCGAAATTTTATTGTGATATTCAGCTTTTACAAATTGCGTTGCAGCAGCAGTACTTTTTTTTCAACACGACAAAGTTACTTTAATACGTTTCCGATGGCTTATTCTCTTCCAATATACATCTAAGCATAAAAACGGAATAGGATGATGAATTGTAGTTATTAAGTTTATAGACATGAAACTTCGAAGTAATCGTGATACTGCGTCAACGTCTGCGTACGTCCCAGAGACTAGTCGTAAAACCTCAAGACCTGCTGTCGCTGTGGTGAATAAAAATACCGGTAGAAAACGCCGTAATAATGATAGCACAGGGAGACCATCGAAAAAGAAAGCGAAAGTTAGTTAATTTTTTTTAGTTTTTTTGTAATATAAATAATCTGACCGAACTATAGTTTTTTTACTCTTTGGTGACTTGATTGAATGAATTGATAGTGCGTAAGCAAAGGTTATCTGTGCTCATTTCACTATTTTGTCTGGGATTGGGTTCTGCTTTCCGATTATGGAGTTTTGATTGACGTACTGTCTTAAGAGCACTATTTGTTGGTATTTTAACGGGGGTTGCTTCGATATTTGTGCCTGGCAGGATGATATTAGCCTTTTATGTGTATTTCGGAGGAAAAACAGTTGGATGCTAGATAAGATATTGAGATGTTGTAAT